TATGTATCTTAAGCTAGCTACTAAAAATGTTAAAATGTTTTGGAATGTTATTCATCATGCTTGAATTCCTTACATATTTATTTTAATAGTTTAACAAAATTATTTCCAGATCTAGCTAATTTTTAAAAATATTTTAGTAAATTTTTTATTTTATTCTTTCCAAGTACTATGTAATATTTAGATTTCTCCTCTTTTGTTCAATTTAGTTATTTAAGACAAGTAATTGTAGTATACATTGAAGAATGTATTCTCTATTCAATAAAACAGATACATATGTATACTAACTTAAAATTTAATATTTATAGTACTCACAGGAATAATTACATTGTTCCAATCATACAATACGTCAAATATTTTAATAAATTCAATAGTAACATGTAGAATGCAAAACCGTTTTGAAATATCATTTCGAAGATCATTATTTACAATGGACATTTTCAATAAAACACGAACAATGTTTCCTATCATATTATAAAAATTATTTTTATCTGTAAACATTCTCTTTTATTACGTCAGTTTTATTGCAAAATTATATAGATTTTTCGTTTGTCTATTTTTTTCCTTGTCGACCAAATAGAATCACTGTTAAGTTCAGTAAAAAAATAAAAGAGTTTTATCTATAAATAAAGACGCATAATGCTTGTTTTCTTGCTGAATTGTTTGCATTTCAGTATATTGTTAAATCTATAGTTCAAATTTAACCTAATGAGTCGCCTCTGCTCCTATTCAATTATTTCGTTATTTTATACTAAAACAGAAATTAAATTTGACTTTATTTTTACTATATCGTGTCAATTTCATATTATATAATGTCAAATTGACACTGTATAGTGTCATATATAATCATTGTTTTAGTATAAAATAACGATATATTTAGTAGGAGAAGTGATGATTCACATTAGATTAAATTGGTCAGTGTAAATTAATAGAATTGCGTCACACACACACACACACACACACAGAGAACGCAGCATTTCTCATAATTTATCAGAATGCAAACAATCCAGCAGGAAAACGAGCACCATAAGCTTAATTTAAAGAAAAGATTAAAACTCAATTAAAACATCTTTTAACACATTTTAATTTTAAATATGTAAAATTATAAATATTATATACTATATGTATAGATATATTATAAAAATCTAAATATCACAGAAGTAATTAATTAACAAATTTAGCAATAATTCATTTTAAGATTTTCGTCTTTCTGTCTGCTTTTAACACAGTTTCATTTTTTAAGCATTTTTGAAATGTGCTGTTTCATGCATGTCATATTAAATCAAATTTATAAAGACTGTTGGATTAAGAATTAAGTCACTGTAAATGGATAACAATCTATGCAAATAAGCCTGTAGATGCTCTATTTGTATATTCGATACGCGATTCCTGGTAAAATCAGATAACTTTGACCTAAATCATTGTCGTATAATTTTCTTTCATGGTTCGTAATTTGCGGAATAGAAATATAGATTTAGTGCTGAATGTGGAAAAAACAGAGGGAGACGAATAGGATACGATTTTGTGATCCACGATTTTCGTCGATTCAGCGATATTTTCTCATCCGAGAAGTAGATATCAAAGTAATTCACACATCCATTGGCAAAGAAATATCAATGCTGACAAATTCTCTTTAATCAAAAGACACAAATCATAATAGCTAGACATCGAAAACAAATTTTTTCCGCGCTTACAAATTTTATCCATAAAATAATTTACGATATTAATTAGACTTGATTATCAGTTAAAATTCAATTACTTTTTTTTAAAAAATAGAAAAAGCATATAAAAGTCAATTACAAAATTCCTAATATACGAAATAAATAAGAATTATATTATATTATAATATAATTATATTATAATTTAATTATTGTATATTATAAGTAGTAACTATCGTGACGCAAAGCGTAACTGCTTTTTGTTAAAGATCCAGGAAGAATTCAAATTTTATTTGATCGCCCTCTTTCAGAAGGCAATGGCAAATCTCCGAGAGTATTTTTACCATCACCATTTAATGTTAAAAACTGTAAATCCCATATATCAATGGATATATGTATGTACTCGCCAACATGCATAGCAAGAGTGTGGCGTTTTAAGTATGGCCAAACTCCTTCCTTTCAAAGACAATGTAGAACGGAAAAGATTGGAAAAGGTTGAAAAAATCCGACATCCAATGAATGTGGAATCAGACTGATAGAGAGAAAATCAGTAAATTTAAGCGTAGACAATATAGTCAGTCATATTACATTAGCCATTAAATTATAATATATTGTATATATTTATACATATTTTGACTTCAAGATTGAGCCCTTAAATGTTCATATGAGAATGATAATATGATGTAAAAGAAAATAGACAAATCGCAATATTAATAATGTACATAAAGATGGTTTAATCTTAAAGTCAAAACATGTAATGCAATGTAATATAATCTAGTGATGTAATATGATTAACTATATTTGTCTACGTCTTTCATTTTACTGATTATCATATAATATAATTCTTTATTTCATATATTAAGAATTGTAATTGATTCTTATATGCCCTCTCTTTAAAATATTATTTGAGAGAAATATATATTAAGAGTTTTTAGTTCTTATTAATTCGATTACTCTTAATTAATGAAATCTATTAATTTTGATATTATTTTGGAAAAAACTCATACTATATATTGTATAATTAAGCCACATTTTATTTTTATTATTTATACAATATATATATTTTTATGATAATAGAATATTATTAAAGAATTATTCTATTATTTAACAAAACTTTATTAATAGAGTATTAATAAAATATTAATATTTATTGTATTGTAATATTATGAATATTCTATTAATAAATAGATGTTGGGATGTCGTAATATTATGAATATTTTATTAATAATAGATGGATATTGGAATATTAATTTAATAAAATATTCATTTTTTAAGTAAACTAAAAAGGATATAAAAACGGAGTGTTATTTTGACGTATGATACATCAATATTTTGCAGAAAGTTCATTATACAATATATTTTTCTAGAAAATAACTTAATTAATTTTGTCCAGAATATGTATATCCAGAAGAATATATTGGGTTTGATTGTATGCGATTATCATGCGACGTTCGAATGATAATAGAATATAATTATGACTTTGTAAATGATTTATCGATTAAAGACAGTTCTTAAAGAAAAAAACTTTGTGCTTACAGGTTCTTTGCCTTTTACACATTTATGTTTAAATTTTTATAAATTTTCTTTATTAGCAATTACTTTTATTACTGTAATCATCTTTATTTCAAAACTAAAATAATTAAATTCAAATTGCATTCCCAATCCACATTGCAACATAATCGAAATATTTGAATGACATTATCAATGAAATACGTTGACGCATAATCGTTCAATTTAATTAATTGACTTATTAATTTTATATATCTTCAAATGCAATAATCGTCTAAAATCATAAATTTTCTCTATTAAAGATGTTGCTTTTAGTATTAACTTAATGAGTTTATTAATTACATTGTTAATTTGTTAAAAATTGTGTATTTATTAAAAGAGCAGTATATTCCTCTTTTTATATTTTAAATTATTTGTAATAGAATTTTATAAAATCAATAAAAACTTAGGAAATATTATTTCCCAAGTCTTTAAAATAATTTTAATCAATAGATTTAAAAAAGTAAAGATTAATTAACATTTTGATCGAAACATAACTTGAGTGTCCACGAATATTTGAAACTTATTGCAACTGATTATTATTATTGCTATGAAAAAAGTATGAAGGTATTAAACTGCATTAAAGACTTATATAGCGATATATGCTGGTTGTCCATTCTCATAAAATCACGTTGTGTATCATATTAGTCGCATTTATGATCAAGCAAATCAGTTTGCTATTCGTATTAAGCATGGCGTGCACCATGCAAACGATGTTGAAATTAACACTCACATGTTTCTCTCATTACACAGCGTGCAATATACGGAACGATATACGAGATCACATTATCTAGTAAACTAACCATCAAATCAACTGTTTACTCGGGTCGTGCAAATCAATAAATAACATTCCGTCACGTCAAAATACAATCATAATGCATGTGTATGCATCTAATAAAGGATAATAAAATAGAGTCAAAATTTACATATGAAGAGAACGTTTAAAATCGATTTATCTTTATATTATTGAACTTGTGTATTGAGTATTGAAATGTGAAGTTTAAAATTATCCAAAATCCGGGCAATTTTATGAAATTAAAATTTTTTTTATAAAAAAAGCCTTGTTTTGCAGCAAATATATTCTAAGAATTAAATAATAACTATAAATAAAAAAAGTGCTTCTTTATTAATGCTTTTGAAAGAGAGAGAGAGAGAGAGAGAGAGAGAGAGAGAGAG